GCAAGCAAATGCCTGTCCAGGGTCAGGCGCTCTTCTACACTGTGACATGGGCACTATGAATGTGTGCACACTGACTGGATTGTGGATCCTGTGTGTTCTAATTCAGCAGTCTGTTCCTCTGTTTTTGATCTCTTAGTTGGACTACTGATCTGCCTTTTTTTTTTTTTTTTTTTTTTTAACATTCATTTCTTTATTTGAAAAGACAGAAGAGTACCTGCAACAGCCAGGGGTGGGCCAGGCTGAAACCAGGAGCCCAGAACTCCAGCCGGGTCTCACACGGGTGGCAGGAACTCGAGCTCTCGGGCCGTCTTCTGTTGCCTTCCAGGCGCACCAGCAGGCAGCTGGATCAGAAGCACAGAGCAGCAGAGACTCAGGCCAGCACTCCCACCTTTCTGACCTGCTTTGACCTTGAAGACCTTGGTGTGCTCTGCGAGTTTCTGCCTTATGTTCCCTTGAGGCTCCCTTCGTAGGCACCTGTTCCTCCAGTCTCTAGCCTTTGGGGAAACTCTTCAGGGGGAAATGATTTGTGCTCCTATTGACGTCTTCCTATACAGGAAGTTAGTTTTGGTTTCTCTGCTCTCAGTCAGTTGCTTTCCAATTTTCAAAATTCTGATTTTTTTATAATTTTCAATAAGAGAATTTGTCTTTATTTTTGAAGGGTTTATGACTTTTTAAAAAAAGGTTTATTTATTTATTTGAAAGTCAGAATTAGAGAGAGAGAGAGGTCTTCCATCCGCTGGTTCACTCCCCAGATGGCCATGATGGCTGGAGCTGTGTCAATCCAGAGCCAGGAGCCAGGAGCTTCCTCTGGGTCTCCCACGGGTGCGGGGGCCCAAGGACTTGGGCCATCTTCTAACTGCTTTCCCAGACAATAGCAGAGAGCCAGATTGGAAGAGGAGCGCCCAGGACTAGAACTGGCACCGCTATGGAATGCTGGTGCCACAGGCAGAGGGTTAACCTACTGTGCCGCAGCGCCGGCCCCTAGCTTCCAGTTTCTTAAACCCTTAATATCTTGCTTCCCAGGACACAGGAGCCCCTGATTGGATTTTCCAGGACCATCTGAAGAAGTTACCTACTCAGGCTTTCCCTAGGACTGCCTAGCAGGGCCCTGTTTGTTCTGTGGTTAATATGCACTCAGAAACAAATCACTGTGAAATATCTTGTAAATAGCCATTAAAAGTTAGAGAGGCCGGTGCCGCGGCTCACTAGACTAATTCTCCGCCTAGCGGCGCCGGCACACCGGGTTCTAGTCCCGGTCAGGGCACCGGATTCTGTCCCGGTTGCCCCTCTTCCAGGCCAGCTCTCTGCTGTGGCCTGGGAGTGCAGTGGAGGATGGCCCAAGTGGTTGGGCCCTGCACCCCATGGGAGACCAGGAGAAGCACCTGGCTCCTGGCTTCGGATCAGCGCGGTGTGCCGGCCGCAGCGCGCCGGCCGCGGCGGCCATTGGAGGGTGAACCAACGGCAAAGGAAGACCTTTCTCTCTGTCTCTCTCTCTCACTGTCCACTCTGCCTGTCAAAAAAAAAAAAAAAAAAAAAAAAAAAAAAGCCAAACTGAGGAATTTCCTATTAACGGAAATTAGATTTATAAAACCAGATGAGCTTTTTTTCCTTTGGCTATGAAGAAGGGAGTATTTGGGGCCTGGGAATTAAAGCTGTTCCTTAGAACAAGAGGGCAGTTGTACCAACTCCTAAATTCACAGCAAGTATCTTTTGTACAATCACAACAGGCACTTTCACTTTCAAAGATCCTTTTGGAGAAATAAGTAAAACTGAAATCCATCTGTCGTTAGTACATAACCTTTTCGTGTATTTGCTTTGTTTCTGAAGTGTAATCAGTTCTTGAGGCTAGAGACTTTTGTTTTTGTTTCTAAGATTTATTTATTTATTTTGAAAGTCAGCGTTAGAGAGAGACAGAGAGAGAGAGAGAGAGAAATTGATTTCCAACTGCTGGTTCACTACCCAGATGGCTGCAACAGCCAGCATTGGGCCAGGCTGAAACCAGGAGCCATGAGCTTCATTTGGGTTTCCCACATGAGTAGCAGGGGCCCGAGCACTTGGGCCATCTTCTGCTGTCTTTCCCAGGCACATTAACAGGGAGCTGGGTCGGAAGTGGAGCGGCTGCTTGCCTCGCTCCTTGCAGCATCAGTCTTTGGTTCCCCATGGGATGCTCCTCTATCTCAAGGAGCTCCAAGTGCCAAAGATGCTCATGTCACAAGTGATCTGATAGTTGCTTGTGAATGGCACATCTGTCTAGATTGCAAGGGGAGAAGCACAGACCTGGCTATTTTACGTTGATTAAAGCAGTGAAAACTGACATGTGAATATAAATAATGAATTCAGAGTACCTGAGTATCGAGTCTCTCTTACCCCGGACAACTGATGAACCTACGCACCCTACTCTCCAGCCTGATTTCACACAACTCTGAAGTTTTAATTTCACAATGACATGAAAGGGGATATGCATAGTTAATGCAAAATTTGGAACTTCTCTTTTCCTCTTGGTCCATCTAGAATAGAGCTCTGGGCTAGAACTTCACGGGAAGTTCTAATCTGTGCTACCCAGCAGTAGCTCCCGGTTACGTGTGACTCCTGAGCACTTACCTTGTGTCTCGTGCAACTGAGAGACTGAATTTTTAACTGTCCTTCTTACTTTAAGTCACCACTTGGATGAGTTAACTCATAGTGGTCAGCACAGATCTAGAAAATGGTGGTGACCTTGCCTCGGGACAGTCTAGGTTATGTTGCGGCCACAAAGCACACAAAAGCCTTGGTGGTTTATAAAAAGAAAGGCTTGTTCCTTGCTTGTGCTCTGTGTCCATTTGGGGCTGGCTGAGATCCAGGGGCATAGAGCAGCCACTGTCTGACGTATTGCCAGTCATTATGGAGAGTTTGACACCAGCACTTTATAAACTGCCCTGGCTCAGAGGGGACAAGCATCACTTCTGCTCAAGGCTGTCACCCTCCACCAGGAGCTCCAAGCCCCACCTCACCAGGGAGCCAGGGCTGAAGTCCTGTGTCCCAGGGGACAGTCCCCCTCACTCCAACACAAATAAGCTTCTCTTTTATATGCAGAGAAGGAGGGGCTGGGGACAAAGGAAGTGGCACTCTTTGTGCAGAACTGAGTTTCTCAGGAATTCAATTCTCCATCACCTCCCTGATGCTTGTTAGCACAGATTTATCAAAAGCCGGTGGGATGAGATGCAAAAAGCCATCTCAATCATTTTCATACAAAGAACAAGACAGTCTTTCCAGAAACAAAGTCAGAAGTCTTTTAGTTACACAGAGAAACATCCTTTAAATGAAGATCTGACGTGTCAAGAAGGATCAGTTGGCTTTTTTTTTTTTTATGTTTGGGGGTGAAAATAAATTGGAAGAGTCTGTTTGTTATTTTACCTAGTGCAGAATATATATTGTGCATTTTTCACTAAAAAGGGATACAAAGTCTTGAAATTTAAATACAACACATTCCTCGCTAGGAACATCTGTAGAGTGTGATAGTCTTAAAAATAGGATAAAAGGGGCTGGCATTGTGGCATAGCAGGTAAAGCTGCCACCTGGGACGCCAACATCCCATATGGGTGCCAGTTCAAATCCCGGCTGCTCAACTTTCAACCCAGCTCCCTGCTAATGCACCCAGGAAAAGCAGCAGAAGATGGCCCAAGTGCTTGGGCCCCTGCCACTCATATGGGAGACCTGGAAGGAGCTCCTGGCTACTGGCTTTGATTTGACTCGGCCTGCCGGTTGCAGCCACTTGAGGAGTGAACCAGTGGCTGGAAGATCTCTCTGTCTCTCCTCTCTCTAACTCTGACTTTCAAATAAGTAAATAAATAAATCTAAATTCTAAATATTAACTGGATGCAGGATCATTTTTTTCCAGATTACACTGTAGAACTACAGAATCATCTAGTCTAATATTTAACAGCACGTCTTGAATTCTTTCTAGAATTTATAAAGTCTCTGTCTGATGACAGAAGCACTGGCGTCCCATGTGGGCACCAGTTCGAGACTGGCTGCTCCTCTTCTGATCCGGCTCTCTGCTATGTCCTGGGAGGGCAGTGGAAGATGGCCCAGGTCCTTGGGCCCCTGCACCCGTGTGGAGACCCAGAAGAAGCTCCTGGCTCCTGGCTTCGGATTGGTGCAGCTCTGGCCACTGCAGTCAGTTGGGGAGTGAACCATCGGATGGAAGACCTCTCTCTCTCTCTCTCTCTGCCTCTCCACTCTCTGTGTAACTCTAACTTTCAAATAAATAAATACATCTTTTAAAAAATAGAATATCTAAAATCTCATTTGGATATCCCAGGACGTGAGGAACTCCCAGTCTGGTATCGGGTAACAGACTTCTGTAAAGCAGTGGTGACGGTTTCCGGATACAAACGCTTTGGTATTAACACAGGGAAAACACTGACAGCCAGGAATAAATTACATCAGTGTCACCAATTCAAACCAAGCCCTGGTAATATTAAGGACAATGCACATTTACATGGGGCTGAGCAATAAGATAAATTCTTAAAGGCTTTTGTAGAGCCAAAAGAAACATATTGAGACACTAATCAGTGTCTCCCCATTCACACCCTTGCTAAGAGGATCTGCCCCCAACTCTAGCTCCTGCCGCCCCCTTTTGCCTCAAGGCTGATATCCAGCCTTGATGCACAAACACTGAAACCCAGGGCAGGTATTCAGTGTAGCAGTTAAGATTGTGACTGTGTCACCTGTTAAAAAAAAAAAAAAAAAAAAAAAAAAAAACAAAAAAAAACCAAAAACATAAGGACCGGAGACTATAGAATGTGGTGGTACGAAACTCATGTTCAGGACAACTTTGGAACTCTGTGTAATTAGGCACCTGCATGAATAAAAACACCTGAAGTCATCCTGCTTCTTGGTAACACACAAGCAGAATCGTCAATTCTTCCCACTTGTGCAGCGCGACGTAAAGTTTTAGTTCCGAGATGTATCTGTGTGTTCTACAAGTGGTGTCACGAAAAGAAAGAGAAGTCTGCATGCACTGTGGTAATCCTTTATTTAAAAACGGTGAGCTGACTACGGTTGTAGTGTTCTCATCTACCATTCTGACGGCATCATAAACGGAGGGAACAGGAACACAATTTCAAAAAGGCATTAACTTGTAAACACGCATATACGTCACACCTGCACACACACGCAACGTACATGCACACGAAGGTTATAGGCTAAACATAATTAAGTGACGAAAAAAATCTTTGCTCTAAGTCAAATTAAAACCCTTTATTATAATAAACTGTGGCAATACTGTGGCTATTATGAAAAATATTATAACTGTTTAAAAGCAAAAAAGGAAAAATACTGGCAACTTGAAACTAGCAGCAAAAAGCAGATAAAAATAGAATGGAAGATAACATAAGACTAAGTAATATCAAGATTCTAATGTTGATACTGTGTAGGATTGCACTGAAATCATTTCAAATTGGTTCTTGAGGAACTAGGAAAAAGTCCTTTGAAATATGAAATGTGTCACTTTACAAACAGTGGAAAAGAAAACAAAATATTTGGAATGTTACACACACACACACACAGAAGAAATGTTTAGGCATAACAATTTATGTTCTTTGTTCATGAACTTCAAAAGGATTTATAAAGAAAAAAATTTAAGTGCCAATGTCGTGAAAAGTTAAAAATTCCTAAAGCTGCGAGAGTCGGTGCGTTTATGAGGTCTAAGATACATTTCAAGGTTGGGGGCAAGGCATAGCTGATCTACACTTAAGAAGAAAAAGAGAGTGGAACCCATAGGCAGGCTGAGCTTTTCGGAGAGTGTTGAAATGCAGGTGCATTCAACTCAGACTATCTTGAAAGAGTCCAGAATGTGTGGCCTCCTATAGCTCTTTGTCAGTTGAAGTCTGTTTCAGAGTGGCCAATAAATAATGAAGACTAATTTTTCAGCCAACTGGCTTTTCCTACATCCAAACACAGAAATCTCTTCTACACACACAGAGCTGACAGTCTGTAACAGCACAAGGACGAATCTCGGTTCAAGGAGAAAAGCACGTGAGCAAGGATTTTTTCTCCCCTGTGAGTTCTTATCCAAATGTCTGAAGCTGCTAGACATTTGCAGAGAGGGGGATAACTTTAGATTCCTACTGATTTAGGAAGAAAAGATATCTTAGTTTTCCTAAGGAAGCCAGAGTCATCCGAGAGCAGGGGGCCTGTTTTCAGAATCTAGGAGGTGCAATTAACGGTCTTAGTGCTTAAATTCACAACAAGATCAGATCCAGGAAAGCCTGCAGGTAGACCAGGGGAGGGAGGAGCAAGGTTTGGATGTCTGCAGTACACTTTGGAAGGAAGTGTGCCTCGTAAATCAGAATGGCTCAACTGCTTTCAGAATGAAGCGAGGTGTTCCTGGAGAAGACCCAGCTGTCTGCAGTCCAGGGGGAGGGTGCGGGGATGGGGGAAGAGAGAGAGACAGAGAGAGAGAAAGAGGCCTTCCATCTCCAGGCCCCCTCTGGGCTGAACTGGGGCTGCAGAGCCCAGAGTCCTTACTGTGGCCTTATTTTTCACGAGTGGGTTCAGCTGGGGAATTTATGGTGGGCCCAGGTAAGTAGCTCTTTCTCTCTGAACTGAATTCACCAGGCAAGTTACTGGAAATTTCCCTAAATGAAATCCCGCTGCACCAGGATCTTAAGGTGCCAGCTAATTCAGATTAATGCCCATCAGCGATGCTGCTGAGTTTCAACTGCTGTGGCGAACCATCAGCCCCCAAGGGACCTACCTAGAGACCCTGCCACACTAGGTGCTTTTGCTATCTTGAGTTTCTGAGCTTTAGAGAGTTAGTCCTTGTAACACGACTTACAAACTGCTTCCCCCTGGCTTTGCTTCACTCCTCTTCCTCCTCTTCCCCTTCTCCTTCTCCTTCCTCCATGGTTTCCACAATGAGCTCTGCCGTGCAGGTGGCTTCTCCAAGACTGTTGACAGCCTTGCAGGTGTACTTGGCATCGTCGTCCCCGCACACGTCGCTGATAATTAAAGAGCAGTTCCCGTCTTCGTCGTAGTCTATCTGGAAGTGGCGAGACTCCCTGATTGACTGGTCGTCTTTGAACCAGACGACCTCGGGGTCTGGGTATCCTGCATCACAGGGAGAGAACACAGGTTGCAAACACTGTCATTCAATTCTTTTTTTAAAGATTTATTTATTTGAAAAAGTTACAGGAACACAGAGGGAGAGACAGAGTTCTTTTTTAAGATTTATCAAATCCTCCTTTTTTTTAAAAAAATAAAATTTGTTATTTATTTATTTGAGAGGCAGAATAAGAGAGAGAGAGAGCCAGCCAGCCAGCCAGCCATCTTTCATGTGCTGGTTCACTCCCTAAATGGCCACAACATTGGGCTGGGCCAGGCTGAAGCCAGGAGCCTGGAACTCCACCCAGGTCTCCCACATGGATGGCAGGGGCCCAAGCACTTGGGCCATCTCCACTGTTTCACCAGGCACATTAGCGGGGAGCTGAATTGGAGGTGGAGCAGAATTGTAAATGGTGGCTTAACCCGCCACACCACAACACCAACCCTCAAGTGTTGTTGTGTTTTTTTTTTTTTTTTTTTTTTTTTTTTTTAATGCAAGCAACCCCTAAGCTACCTCTGTTGGTTGTGATGGGGGAGGAGGGGAGTCAAGGCAAAAAATTATAATGTTGGTGCTGGTGCTGGTGCTGTGGTGTAGCAGGTAAAACCACCACCTGCAGTGTCAGCATCCCATGTGGGTTCCAGTTTGAGTTCTGGCTGCTCCACTCTGACCCAGCTCTCTGCTATGGCCTGAGAAAGCAGTAGAAGATGGTCCAAGTGCTTGGGCCTCTGCTACTTTCATGGGAGATCTAGAAGAACCCTTTGGCTTTGGATTGCCTCAGCTCAGGCCATTGTGGCCATTTGGGGAGTGAACCAGCAGATACAAGACTTCTCTGTCTCTCTCTTCCTTTGCCTCTCTGTAACTCTGCCTTTCAAATAAATAAATAAATCTTAAAAAAATTATAATGTGACTTTTAGCATCTGTTTTGATATACACATTAGAATATGGGTATGTATTGTAGGTACCAGCATCCGAATCCCCAAATAGAGTGCTCTAAAGTTTCCTGTTTCCAATTCCAATCCTGTTACCCATTCTGGAAGGGTTATCACATCCCCTTCTCCTTATGATGCTCACACAGGACTCATTAAAATACCAAGCCAGGCAGAGATAGGCCTTTGGTATAGCTGTTCACACACTGCTTAACATGTCTGTGTGCGATTTCAGAGTGCCTAGATTGGAGTTTGGGTTCACTGTCCAAAATGCCTGCAAAGGGCTGGGCCAGGCTGAAGCCAGGAACTGGGAGCCCGATGCAGGCTCTCCCCCATACGTGGCTGGGACTCAGCCACTTGAGCCATCACCAGCCGCCTCCCAGGGTTTGCCATTAGCAGGAAGCTGAAGTTGGGAATGGAACTGGGACTCAAACCCAGGCACTCTGCCATAGGACACTGGTGTCCCAATGGGTGGCTGAACCCCCAGGGAAAAGCCTGCCATGAATTTTTTTTTTTTTTACCTAAACAGGGTCCATGTGCTTTAATTTCTCCTCAAAGCCCCAGTCAAAAGTTATACAAACACCAAGGAAATAATCCCAAAGAGGAAACCACCTGCAGATAATAATCCCTGTTATACCTTCAAAAATTAAAACAGGACAAAGGAAAGCAGGGGACCCAGGGACAGTGGTGATGGTGAGCGCATCCAGATTGCCCCAGAACCCCCCGGGGCTGAGATCTGCCATGTTCAACAGTGCGGCGGCAGCAGCGCACCCACTTCTGTTCTTAACTGAATGAAAACACTGAGAGATTACGGAGGGCGAAGCTTTTTACAAGGCATTTAGATAGGGTTCTTTTACCCGAAGGCCTCTGTCTGGTCACACGGCTGCAGCATTGCCCAAAGCGGGAGGCGGGTTTGTCCTGACTGCTCCTCTGTGCTATGCTTGGGAAAGTTGCTGAATAATCTCAGTGCTTTATTTGGTCAGAGCAGAATGGGCGCTAACCCTTGACTCTGGCTGGCACATGAAAGCCAAGGCCTACAGCCAATGCCTGGCTTATCTTGCCCTTTATCTTTCTGGAATGTTGCAGTCCCTGGAAACTACAATGCTCTGTGTTATCCACTGTGCTCACATCTGGAGGGACGGGGGCATGCTCAGATCCTTTAAGGTCTCTTGAGTCCTGAGCACCCGCAATCTTCTGTTTGCATCATTGCTGGCAGGTGGAGAAGCCGCAGGGGGAGATGGTACACTGCATGGTGCGCCCCAGGGGCCTGGGTGGGACTCTGAAGTCTCCAGTCACCCAGCACGTGCCCTTTCTCTGCACTTAGCAATCCTGCAACTTTTCTCTCACTCCATGCCATCTTTTAATTATTTATTTTTTATTTGAAAGACAGAGTTACAGACAGACAGAGGGAGGGAGGGAGAGAGAGAATATCTTCCATCGGCTAGTTCACTCTCCAAATGGCCACAGTGGCTGGAGCTGGGCCAGACCAAAGCCAGGATCCAGGAACTTCATCTGGGTCTCCCACGTGTGTGCAGGGGCCCAAGCACTTGAGCTATTCTCTGCTACTTTTCCCTGGTTCATTAGCAGGGAGCTCAATCAGAAGTGCAGCAGCAGGGACTTGAACCAGCACCCACATGGGATGCTGGCACTGTAGGTGGCAGCTTAACCCACCATGCCATAACATCAAGCCCTGTGCCATCTTAAAAAGTCTTCCAAGGTTTCCTCTTTTCACATCCATGGCCCAGAGTCACTCCTGGCCCTGGCTGTCCTCTGAAGCCAACAGCTCCTGTCCGAGGTCACACAGCCTGCTGACCAGTGGCAGAGCCACCGAGCCTGTGTCCTGCACTTGTGGTGCCAGCTTTCCTTCGGGACCCTCTTGCAGGCAATTCACGTGCCACTAAGCATGTTCCATGACAAACCGCGTGTAACCTGGGTCTAGCGGCCGGCCTTCAGGAGCTGGGAGAGGAGGGAGGGCTCTCTAGGACCTGCTCTCTCTGACTCCGTTTCCCTGAGGGCTGGCTGTTTCTACTGATGGGGGCTGCAGGACCTGATACCGCAGCTGGGGTTGGGGGGAAGGGGGAGGCCAGAGCAGGGACCCCAGCACCCAGCCCTGCCCCACCCCGCCGCGGCTCACCTTCGATCTTGCAGTCAAATCTGGCGGCGCTGCCCTCCACCACCTCCAGGTCACGAATGGTCTTAGAGAAGTAAGGTTTCACGTGCGGCTTCTCCTCTGCCACAGCCTCCAGGAACGCTTGGGAGACATCTTCTGAGAGACAGAGAGGGAGGCCAGGTCACTGCCTCCTCTCCGTCCTCTCCTCCCCACCAGCTTGAACAAGCTTTTTTTTTTTTTTTTTTTTTTATACAAAGAGATTGCTATAATTTAGCAAATAATGCAGCCTAGAGATCTGAATCACGCACACGCCTTTCTCCTGGGGATGGCCTGGCCTGCCGCCAGATGGGTTTTGGCAGAAGAGAGAACTCTGCCCGAACCAGGGAAGGGTTCAGCCTCCTCGCCTTCCCTTCTGCTGACACATTAGAAAAGGAAGTCATCTTCAAAAAGCATTCTTGGCTGCATTTCCTGCTGCTTCAGGACTGTGCTGAGGGCGTCTGAGAGGTCGGAGCCTCCATGGCCTTCCCGCTCGGCTGCCCCTCCGCCCGCCCCTGCAGCAGGTCCTCCACCTGCTCCTCGGGGAAGCAGCAGGTCCTAGAGGCGCCCTCTTATCTGTGACTCTGTCCTCCACACTCACGCTGCCTTTACTCTGTGAGACTGCGGACCTGGCCATGGGGCTGGTCCAGGGAGAAGCTATAACCCCGGAGGGCTCCCAGGTCCCCTCACTCCCACTGAGGTCACTTCTGGGTCATCTGGGGAGTGGCGGGAGTGGCTCAGGAGGGGCCAGGCCCATGTGCAGCAGACTCTGTCCCCAGCCACAAAGGAGCTGCAGAGCAGCTGGCTGCTGGCCTTGCCCGTGCCCCTACCTCTGTGCACTACAGGGATTAGACTCAGCTTCTCACCTGTGGGTACTAAAAGCCCCAGACAGCATGGGTTGGAGGCTGTCTCTGGCCAAAGGCAGCACCTCAAGCCAACAAGGGTGAGGCCCTGCATGCATCTGAAGCTGGGAGAGGTTGAGGTGGCGGGCAGCGTCTCAGAGACGGTGTCGAGGAATCTACATGACGGGGCTCCAGAAGGGGTGCTGCCAATCCCCACGCGCCCTGTGCAAGTGACGTGTTCCAGCTGCGTGAACAACGCCAGCAAAACACCAGGGGTCTTCAGAAAGTTCACGGGAACTGTGCATCAGGAAAAAAACCTGCGCATGCATTTCCAACTTGTTTTGGAAAAAAAAATAAGCTTAACTTTTAATTCCCTTAAACGAACTTTTTGAAGTGCCTTCACACAAACTCTGTGAGTTAGTTTTGGTTTAAAACAAAAACACAAAGACAGAACATGGACGGCTATTGATCGAACAGCTGGATGTGGCTTTTGCCCACCGATAGACAAGAACACTTCTGCAGTAGCCGTTGCTACTTCCCACACAAAGTACAGGGGACAGAATAACCCAGGCCACCTACTCCTGTCTGATAAAGAATGGCTTCTGCTTTGAAAACAGGCAAGCCTCAGGTTAAACAACAATCGCTAGACTTAGTCACTGCTGTTGGGGCAACCAAAAAAAAAAAAGAAACCAACGACTTCTGAGTTTATCCTTGTAGGGTGGATAAAAAAAAAAAAAAGAGAGAGGAAAGAAAAAAAATCCCTAAAGGCCAAAGGCCCCTCTGACCGCCCTCGCCTTGTGTGCCCAGGGGCGCCTCACCTTCGGTTTCCAGTCTCTCTGCGGTGAGTGGGCTGGTGGGTGACCCCGTGGAGGATTTCCTGCCGCTGAGCCCTGAGATCATTGCCATAGAGGACAGTCTTCCAATGGCTCTCACAGCATTGCCCGTTTTCTGGAAAAGAGACACTGGGGTTGGGCTCAGGCGGTGTCCCGGGCTGCAGCTGGGCAGTGCTGGGGACCTGGCCCAGGGGAGGCAGCCGGTCCGGGAGCGAGGAGTGAGCACTCTCGGAGGGTCGGAAGATGTTCGGGGAATGGAATGGGGCCTGGAACTGATGTGTGCGTTAATGTGACTAAACAAGGTCAACATGAGACAAAAAGCCTTTTCATACTGTGCTTCAGCTCCCATAAAAGGGATAGTTTATATAAAGCAACTGCAGGCTGAGACAGCTCCGAAGACTTATTGCTGACCGGGCTCCGCGGGCCTGCTTCTCGTAAAACAATGCCCGTGACAGCGTTGTCATTGGTTAAGAGAATCGTTACTACTTATCCCACTGATCCTGGGGCAGCAGCGAGGCCACGCAGTCCACTTAACCCCCTCCGGCCTCAGGATCCTTCTCTGCACAAGGAGGGGGCTGGACAAGAGGACCTCCAAGGCCCAGTCCTCTCTGTCTCTGATCCGGGAGACGCTGGCTACTCCGGGCTGAGTCCCTGACCGCACGGTGCAGCTTCAGAGGGGCTCTCCCCGAGGGGACACTCAGGCGTCCCAAAGAGCGCGTGAAGAAATGAAGAGCAAGGGCAGCTGGCTGTCCTGGGCGGCGTGGCAGAAGACAGGCAGGGTTTCTGCCGAGTAGGCTCAGGGGAGCTTCAGTTTCTTTGCATTGTGAAAACTCGACCAAGCAGAGGACTTAGGTCAAGAAATCCCCAATAATGGACAACTGTGTCTCTTCTTTCACTCCCCCCCCCCCTTTTCTGTGGTCAGTGAGGTAAGAACACTAAGGTATAACCAAGTCCCATGCCTGCACGCTAAGCAACTTCTGTGTTGCCACCACAGGCTGCGCCCCAGAGAGCAGATGTCCCCACGGACGCACGCCTGGTGGAAGCGGTCGGGCGTGGCCTGCGCTCACTCAGCTCACTTTAGCTGGGCCCTCGTGGGTTAGCTCCATACCCCAGGGACTTGAGGGAAGCACTCTAAGCCAGTATGCTTCAGCAGAAATACCAAGCATTTCCAAAGAACTCCCGGATGCTAAGGAAGCGCATGGAAAGTTGCGTGCATGTGGTTTAAGGGGGCCCCATGGTGGCAGCCTGCCCCCACCCCGCCCTGTCACTCCCCAGTCACACCCTCACTGCCCCCTTGCGCTCTTGCGTTCACTTGGACAGAGGCTCCACCTTGCCCTGGCCTTTAGCCCTCAGTCCTCACGCACGTCACTGTATGGGGTGGGTACGTTGCAGCCACGGAGCATCTGGGTGAGGCGGCACTGAAGGCGGTGAGCGATGACCCGCTTAACTCTGGGCAGCCGCGTAAGGACGCCCTGCGGACGGATGCCTGCTCTCCTGGGACAGGTGTGCTTGCTGTGCTACCTGAGGGTAGAAGCCTGGCCCTTCCCTGGAGTCCACCTGCCCTCCCTGTGCGGCTGGAGTCGGAGCCAGACCAGTCTACTTCAGCCAGACTCTTGGACCCCGCCCTTCCCCGCTTGCTCGTCCATCCCTTTCTCCAGCTTTCTCCAGATCGGCCTGCCCTGGGTCAGGAGTCTTTAAACCCAGAGTGTTCACTCCCTACAAGGGGCGGCTTCGTCCTGGGACCCCTGACCGTTGCGTGACCCTGTGCAGGTCACATCCCCTCTCTGGGGTTCCGTGTCCTCAGACCTGAAGAGGAGCCTCTCCCACAGCGGACAGCGCAGCAGGGAAAGCTCCCTAACCCCACAGCAGCCGCAGGACCATCTTGGTCTGTGCAGTGCACTGAGTTGATGGCTTTTGTCGGTTTTGTTTTTTAACAAAGTTACCCAAATAAAGTTATCCGAATGAGGCAAACGAAAGGGTTTACTATTGCAAACGTAGTAACAAATAAGCCTTGCACATGGAGACATGCAGCGTATAATTTCTAAATTCTAAAAACATATACGTGCTTAATAAGGAAATATTTTAAAATAATCTATAGCAGGATTCAATCTTTGGGACAGATTTGTGGGAAAAAATGTTAGGGAAGTTATTTGTCAGCACTAGAAAAGAAAGCAGTTGGCGTGTTGTGGTCTCCTGGCTTCATGCGTTTGACAGGTGCTTTACTAAGACCTTTGGAGAATTTTTGGAAAGCAAAATGACAAAGTTTCAGCTCCGATCCTTGAATCCAGAGATCCCTTTCCTCCTTTGAGGGTGATCCTCAAGACTGGGGTCCTGTGTTCCTGGTAAGTGCTGTCTGCCCCAGCCCCTTCCGTACTCGGCAGACTCCCCACCCACCGCAGAGCCACCTGAGGGTGCCCAGCCTCCCTGGCATGCCTGGGACTTTGGGGTGTCCCAGGGTTAGGGTCTTTCAGTGCTGATCCGCAGTCTGTGGCAAGCCCAGGCAGGCTGGGCACTCTAGAAACAGCCAGCACACCATCGCCGGCCCCAAGACTACACTGCTGCCCGGAAAGTGCACTGCATCCTGACGCGATGGCCGAGAACGCTCTGCGCGACACTGAGTCTAGTGCTGCACCCCATTGCCCTTCGCTCTGTACCACCAGAGAGCTGCTGGCCCCCGGAGCAGTGCTTCTGCCCGCTGACCTCTGATTCGCAGGCTTTTCCTTGCAGTTTACACACAGAAGCCCCGTTACCCTGCTCAGCTTACCCAGCCCCATCGACGACTCCTCGCCAACACACCCTTGTAAAGTTCTTTTCAGAGAACTGTCAAATAGACTTTTTTTCTTTGGGGGGCGGGGGGGATAACTTCATTCTAGGGTTGCTAATACAACTGATCATTCATGCCCAGCCTGTCCGTGGTGGGACTGCCTGGAGGGATTCCCACCTTTGTTATGTTTCCTCCTGGGGCCTTTGATGAAAGTCACACTAGAACAACAATGGGGCAGCCTTGTGTGCTGCTGTAGAATGTTCTGGGCCACCTGTGTCTGCTCTGCCCTTCTTCTTCCAGCATGGGTCACCCCACTCTATCCATGCCACCGCACCCTGTCCCAGTGTTCAGAAATTCAGCTGCTCAGAGAGAGGACCCCCTATTCGCGGGGTGGGGGGGTAAGTTCCTGGTGGTTTGGTTACCACACAGAAAACACTTCCCTAAGGAAACAGCATAGCACCAGAGGGTCAGACACGGCTGAGGTGTTACTGGGAACATAATGCTTCAGGCTCGTTACCTGCTGAACAGGATTTGGTGAACTACTTTTGTGTGGGACTTTGTGAAACCTGACCGCTGATTTTGTGGAAAAGTCAAAGGCTGTCACCTGGATTAAAATATGGAATTAAGGTCCCTCTCTAAATTGTACCCTTTTCTGCCCCCTCCGGGAAATCCCATGACTAATGACACTGCAAGCAACAGCAACAAAAATCTACCTGATTAACAGCAGCACGAATCACAGGTCCCTGGCTCAAATGGCTGAGCGGTTCCATTTGCTTCCTTTCCCATTTCCTTATCTCTTCTCCAAACTTGCCCCCTGGGTTGACATGGCTCCACCTGCAGATGTTCCCCAGCGATAAGGCTGCCCCTTGTGGGGAGCAATCCGGACTAGACTGTTACTCGAATTAGGACTTATTCTATGCATCTGCTCTCCCACAATATGGCGCTGGGAGAGAAGTAAACAGCTTCCGCACAGCTGCCTCCAGTTCAACCAATTAACTGTAGGACTTGCTCCTGATTGGAGAGCAGCGTACTCAGCCGAGTTGGGATTGGCGGAGGAGGACTATAAAGGAGGAGAGAGACGGCATGCACGAGGAACATCTAAGGGGAACATCTAGCTGAAGGAACACCTGTGCAGCCCCCGAGAAGAGCCGGCCGGCGGTGTGCCGCTCCCCTGTGGAAGTGGGGAATGTGGCCAGGGGGAACTGCCCTTCCACGGAGGTGGAAGGGATAGTAGCCAACCCGGGAAGAACCAGCAGCAAACCCGGGGAGGGCCGAGCAGACGAAAGAACAGCGCAGGGTCCTGTGTCGTTCCTCCACGAAGAGGGGGAGCGACATAATGGTGCCGTGACTCGGATAGGAAACCTGACTCGGATAGGAAACCTAGAACGGATAGCAAACTTAGGAGGGAAGAAACGGGAAGAAGCAGGAAAATACCGGAGAGAGAGACTAGCAAACAGCCTAGGGAAAAGCCGGACGAAAAGGGTGCCGGAAGAAGCTATTGAAAGCCTAGGCATAGATTCGGATACGGACTACGGGGGGAAGCTGGGAGAAATCTCTAAGGTCGAAAGCGAAAGTGAAAGCTAGAACAAACAGATTCGGACGCGGACTGTGGGGAGAGGCCAGGAGAAATGAGGGAGGAATATCGTTGGAGGAAAGCTTGGGGAAACATACCGGGTAGAGAAAAATGTTAGGGAAATTGAAGCCGCGGGGGGCAGGCCAAGGCGGAAACGAAAGCCACTTTGGGATTCTCAAGTTAGCCCGGGAATAGGGGGCGAAAAGTTAAAACCAGAAGCTGAGACGCAAGCCAGATTGGGATCCGTCTGATTAGCCCGGGGAGCAAAGGACGGGAAGCCAAACCGTGGGGCGGAGACGTACGCTGGGTTGAATTCGCCAAGCTAGCCCGGGGAACTTAGATTGAATCCTAGTGGCGGAGACGCAAGCTACGCTGTGTTACTCGCGGAAGCCGCCGCGTGCAGAGAGAGCACGGGGCGTGAATAGATAGGGAACGCTGGCGTAGGCCGTGGTTCAGACGCGAAGGGGTTAAGCGTGGAGACCGCGGAGCGCGCGAAGCCGAGCCGCGCAAAGCCGGGAAGCTGCGCAGATGAGAGAGGCGCACGGGCTGAAGCGGCGAGGTGCCGGGAAGCTGCGGGGATAAGAGAAACAGAAGTTTGGAAGTGAAGCAAAAGAGAAATGGGAATGCTGGAAGATAGAAGTGAAATGGGAGAGGTAGGAATGCCCGGAGATAGAGAAATAGAAAAAAATAAGGCCTCCCCTCAACATGCCAATTAGAAGGCTTGGATTCGGTCTGCCCGATTAGTGAGGCGATGAGCACCTGGGCGGCTAGCCGCAGGTCACCGAAGACAGGCACGAATTAACATCAGTAAAGCTTCCCCACAATGCAACAATTAGGAGGCTTGGATTCGGTCTGCCTGATTTAAGGCGGTAAGCGCCAGCAAAGCTCGACCAGAGTATGAGCTGCAGGTCACCGAAGATAGGCACGAACCAACACTAATAAGTCTCCCCCACAATAAGGCAATGAGAAGGCTTGGATTCGGTTTGCCTGATAGGTCTTGTAAGTCCCCTGCGGGCAGAGCAGAGCATGCGCTGCAGGGCACCGAACACAGGCACGCATCAGCGCCTAAAAACCTCCTCACAATGGCGAAGAGAGGACCCGGATTCTGTTTTCCTGACTGATAGGACTTGTAAGAGCCTGTGGCAACTCTAGCAAGTACAGCAGAGTGTGTGCTGCGGGACACCGAAGACAGGCGCGTATCAACGCTAAAAAATAAAAAGAAAGGGGGATCTGTGGGGAGCAATCCGGACTAGACTGTTACTCGAATTAGGACTTATTCTATGCATCTGCTCTCCCACAATATGGCGCTGGGAGAGAAGTAAACAGCTTCCGCACAGCTGCCTCCAGTTCAACCAATTAACTGTAGGACTTGCTCCTGATTGGAGAGCAGCGTACTCAGCCGAGTTGGGATTGGCGGAGGAGGACTATAAAGGAGGAGAGAGACGGCATGCACGAGGAACATCTAAGGGGAACATCTAGCTGAAGGAACACCTGTGCAGCCCCCGAGAAGAGCCGGCCGGCGGTGTGCCGCTCCCCTGTGGAAGTGGGGAATGTGGCCAGGGGGAACTGCCCTTCCACGGAGGTGGAAGGGATAGTAGCCAACCCGGGAAGAACCAGCAGCAAACCCGGGGAGGGCCGAGCAGACGAAAGAACAGCGCAGGGTCCTGTGTCGTTCCTCCACGAAGAGGGGGAGCGACACCCCTTAGCCCACAGCCCCACCGGAGCACCACTCAGTGAGCTCCCTGCTCTGAGAGCTGCCCCACCCCAACACCAGCCTCCCTGCCTTCCTTTGAGACCCACTGGGGCCACAGAGTCATTAGCAAAGCCAACCTTTGGCCTTGTAGCCCCCCCTCCCTCTTTCCTAATATTTGCTCCTCTAATCCCTCCCAGTGGCACCAGAGGGTCAGCAGTCCAGGTGTTCCAGCTCACCTTACATTTGAGGGAGGCCAGGAGACCTCTGTAACCATTCACCAGGGGAGGGGGCTGCCTAACCAAGAGCCACTGCCACTGCACAGGAGCTCTGGCTGGGGTGAGCCTGGGCGGTGATCCCTGGAATCCCACCCCCTGGCCCTCAGTCACCTTTGCGACCTCTCCCAACCTGTATGTGAGGCTTAGGTTCCAAAGGAACTGTGGTTTAGTCACCCCACCTGGCAAATTTCCAGTGCCCCACCCCCAACAGTGATTTCCTTTTTCTTGGCCCCCTGGCAAGGTCTCAACACCCCCAAGGTCCCCTGAATCCCCAGCTAAAAGGTTCTGCTGCTGTCCAGCCCTACACAGCCAGAGTGGGCCCAGTCCCCACCACTGTGCCTTGTCCTCCACCTGTGCAGCTGTCGCCTCCTCTCTGGCTTCATTTCGACCCCCTGCTCCTGGGAGCTTTTCCTCAGAGCCACGTTAACTCTGGCTGCAGCTGGCCCCCCTCTCCAGTCCACACTCATGTATTCACATACAGGGATGGAGAGCCACATGGGTAGTTCCATTCCTGGTGTGTCTCGCTCCCTTTGCTGTCTGTGTGTGTGTCCATCCCGTTACACTATACGTTCCCTGAGGACAGAAGCTATACCCTCTCAGAAGCCCAGGAATCTCAGGATACTGGTGTGACAATAAAAACTGGAAACCAGATGGCGGTAGTGGTAAGTACACTGTGGTTTTGGGTGCTAATTTCACCTGTCTTGCTATCAGAGGCAGTTTTGTGTTGTTGGAAAGACTGTGCTTCGGAGCGAGGCTCTGAGTTTGGGTCCTGAATCCACTTATCACCTCTGTGATCCTGGTGACTTTCCCAACCTTTCCTTGGCCTCAGTTTGTCTGTGAAGCAGAGACAACAACAGTACCTGCCTCCAGAGATTAAAAGACTCAATACATGAACGGTGCTTTGGCCCCTGATGCACAGCCAGCCCTCAGTACACATTAGCCACAGGCATTGTTCTGGAACGCTCGCCGTGTACCAGGCATTGAGCTGAAGGCCGCATGAAGATGTCACTCTCACAACAACAGGAAGGTGGTACCACCACTGACATTGAAACCAGAGCAAGGTAGAGTCACCTGCCTTTGGCTACCTGTTGCATAGCCAGTAACACAACACACAGCTTCCCCACCAGCTGGGACCCGCGTCCATCTCCTTGGATCATACACCCACCTCCTCCATTGTGAAAAAGTGTAGGACTATCGCACCACCCACAGGGAATAGGCATTCTTTAGGGTCGCCCAGCAGACCTCAAGGTGAAGTCGCTCAACCCTAGCCATGAAGAGATGGGGCACCAGAGGCGTAACGTGGGTGCGGGACAGGCTCTGTGGCCTCCCTGATCGGTCCCTCGAGGACAAGGCTGAGCAGGACCAGAGAGATGATTTCCCTGAGCAAGCACTCGGTGCTCAGGACTCGGCACAGCAACGGACCTGAGTCGGCTGCCTGAATCGGTCCCAGCACGATTCAGAAGCAGATTTAAGCATTCTTGGAGTGAGGCCAGGCAAGCAAGGGATGACAGTGGTTGGAACAGAGCAGCCACGTGGGCAATGCCCCTGTCCAAGTGCCACCTGCATTACCTGCCATTTTCTTCTTGCCATGTACTTCTTCATGCGGTCCTTGGAGAGCTTCTTGGCCTCCATGTTCTTGGTATCCTTCATTAGCCACGGGTGCTGGAGGCACTGGGTACAGTCCAGGCGGTTTCTGAGATGGGAAGAGAACAGAGGCTTTCTGACCAGGAAGGGACCAGAGACGTCAGTGGTCACACTGCAAGTGGGGGCTACCTGTCTCCTGTCACACAGGGCAGAGCCCAGGACCCCTCTCTGGACTGGTTCACCAGGATCAGAGACACTGTCCCTGCCACCATTTCCCTCTATGGGTCTGGGCAGACCCAGCAAAGGTCAGTGCCAAGAGGCCTCCCCACCAGGCAGGCAACCTAAGGCCCACGGCTGGGACACCTGTCTCAGGATGGCTCGCACCACAGTCCAGGGTGGGGGCTGGGGCCTCCCCTTCTGGAAAAGGGGAAGTGAAACATGAGGACAAAACCTGTGAGAGTCACTCAACCCTCGGGTCTTGTGGTGAAGCCAAGGATCAGGCTTTTCCTGTTACAACCCAAAACAGTGTGCCCTACATACAACCTGTGATTTAGGACAGCCTTAGGCCTGGTACTCATTCAGTCTTTCAGGAAGCTCTGGGAACCTATGAGGATTTCAGGGCCACTGTCTTTACTGGAACAGGACTCATGAAGCCCAAAGAACCAAATACCAAGTGCAATCATCCACAGAGAAACTCGACAAGAAAGAAGCATAGTGAGCTTCAGAGAAGAGGATTGTGGATGATTTGCATTTTCTTATGGTCTTCAAATTTTCTGCAATTTACACATATTGATTTTACGATTAGAAAATTTAAGAGTGCTAATAGGTGGGCCAGCGCATCGGCTCACTAGGCTAATCCTCCGCCTTGTGGCACCGGCACACCGGGTTCTAGTCCCGGTCGGGGCGCAGGATTCTGTCCCGGTTGCCCCTCTTCCAGGCCAGCTCTCTGCTGTGGCCAGGGAGTGCAGTGGAGGATGGCCCAGGTGCTTGGGCCCTGCACCCCATGGGAGACCAGGATAAGTACCTGGCTCCTGCCATCGGATCAGCGCGGTGCGCCAGCCGTGGCGGCCATTGGAGGGTGAACCAACGGCAAAGGAAGACCTTTCTCTCTGTGTCTCTCTCTCACTATCCACTCTGCCTGTCAAAAAAAAAAAAAGAGTGCTGATAGGTGGAGATTTATGGTTTGAGAGTTAGTGGGAATATAATGTCTTAATCTATCTCATTCATATATGTTCTTTATGGCCAGCACTGTGGCATAGCAGATAAAACTGCTGCTTATGATGCCAACATTCCATATGGGCACTGGTCCAAGTCCTGGCTGCTCCACTTCCAATCCAGCTCCCTGTTAATGCACCTGGAAAGCAGCGGGGGATAGCCCAAATGTTTGGGCCCCTGCATCTATGTGAGAGACCTGAAAGAAGCTCCTGGCTCTTGGTTTCAGCCTGCCCCAGCCCTGGCCATTGTGACCATTTGGGGGTGAACCAGTGGATGGAAGACTTCTCTCTCTGCCTCTCCCTCTCTCTCTGTAACTCTGCCTTTTTTTTTTTTTTAAGATTTATTTTATTTTACTTGAAAGTCACAGTTACACAGAGACAGGAGAGGCAGAGAGAGAAAGAGAGAGAGAGAGAGAGAGAGAGAGAGAGAGAGAGAGGTCTTCCATCCACTGGTTTACTCCCCAGATGGCCACAACAGCCAGAGTTGCACCGATCCGAAGCCAGGAGCTTCTTCTGGGTCTCCCATGCGGGTGCAGGGACCCAAGGAATTGGGCCACCTTCTACTAATTTCCTAGGCCATAGCAGAGAGGTGGATCAGAAGTAGAGCAGCCCAGTCTTGAACCAGCGCCCATATGGGATGCCGGCACCACAGGCGGCGGCTTTACCCGCTATGCCACAGCGCTGGCCCCAACTCTGACTTTCAAGTAAATAAATAAATCTTTGAAAAAAATTTAAAAGATCTAGGTACAGTTTTTAAAAATATCCGTTCTTTGGTGATTCCATTTAAAAAAAAAATGGATTTATGTATTTGAAAGGCAGAGCAACATAGAAAGAGGAAAAGCTGGGGCAGAGAGAGAGAGGAAAAGCAAGAGGAAGATTGTCTGTCATCTGGTTCACGCCCCAAATGGCTACAACAGCCGAGCTGGGCCAGGCCCAATCCAGGGGCATGGAACTCTATCCTGGTCTCCCCCAGAGGGCAGACGCGCAAGTACTTAGGTCATTATCTGCTGCTTCCCAGGTGCATTAGCAGGGAGCTAGATTGAAGTGGAGCAACCAGGACTCCAACCAGCACTCTGATAGATTCCAGCATCGTAGGTGGTGCCTTAACCCACTGTGCCACACCACCTGCCCCCAGTGGCTCCATTCTGTGAGCACGAGAGGCCCACCACGGACTGTCACTGGTCAAGGTCAGATGAGAAAATAACGAGTGCCTGCATGAGCTCGTTCACCCGATCCTCAGTGTAAAGGAGGCTTGGTTGCCATCACTGGAGCAGTTACCAGCAGTGTGCTTTCACCTTGGGAATGTGAGAGCCCTCACAGCGAGAGGGAGCCTCTACACTCCCATCCAGATTCTCCTTGGGTCCCACCTACTTCTGATGCAAAGACTGTGACAGCTCTGAGGTCAAGGAGTAGGGACTGGGGCCCACAGGGCAGCTGCGCCTTGAGAGGTGGTGGGGAACAGAGAAACCAGACAGAGCCATCCACAAGACTCCAACGTGGCTCCTTTAGCAACCAGGCTCTCCTGTCCTAAAGAGCGCCTCTCCCAGAGGGGCACCAGCTGCAGCCTCGGAGGGCTCTGCAGGCCAGACACACAGGCACAAGCCCGGCCACAGAGCCACCTGCCTGGCCCCGGAGGGCAGCTGCCCTGCCTTGCCACATCTCTAGAATGCCAGCCATGTCACCTCCCTTCTCAGGCAAGGCTACAGCTGGGCCCTACTTCCAAGCTCCTCAGAGCCTGGCCTTGCCCTGTCACCCATTGACAGCATGGGTGAGGTGCCCAGCAGGCCAGAGGACCTCATTGCCACCCCCGCGCCTCCTTCCCCAAGGTGCACACAGAGTGCATAAATAAATCTCTCATCCTTAGCCAATTCTTCTGCCCAGGACAGACCTCACCAACAAATCCTGCTCGGCCACCTCCAGTCTCACCTCCTCCAGGACCCCACTGTCCACCCTGGCACTGCAATCCCCAGGGCTCATGAGCCCCCTTCCTCAGCCTGCACATGCTGGCCTCCCGCTGTGCACCTGTTCTCTGTTCATGGGGGTGGGGGGAGGTGGGGGTGTGGAGGTGGGGAGAGGGCTGGGCCTCGTGGTCTGGGGCTATAGCCTCCCTCTGTCAGTGACACAGGCACCTGGGCACACTCAGGCTGGCCTTTCTCACACCGAGCCAGAACCCCCCGGGCACCTGAGCAGGACCCACAAATAGGCTCTCAGGTTGCCCTTGCCACTGCTCTTGCTGTGCAGTGGGCACCCCCCACCCCGCTCCCTTGCAGAGGGGCCAGGGCTTCAGCCACCCCCAGAAAACAAGGGGACACCCTCTCCCTGCGCCGTGGGGTTGGTGCCGCATTTCCAGTGAGGTTTCTGAGACACTGGAGATGGACACAGAGCCCAGTGCCGGAGAGCAGGGCCTGGTTAGATTGCCTATCCTCCACGCACACTCAGGCTGCGGGCCTGGCAGCACCTGCCCGCCCCTCCTCGAGGACACGGGACCAGGGAGGGAGGAGGGGGAGCCCCAACAGGAGGAGGAGAGCAGGGAGGGGGCAGCCACCATGGCTGGAATCACTACACATTACTTCATGTCCTTCTTCAGCAAGTTGCTGATGAAATCCTTGGCGTCGTCGGAGATCTCATCAAACGCCTCGTCGTCGAAGTCCCAGGTGGCTGAGGTAACATTGGCTAAGGTCTCATTGTCATTGTCACCCATGAAGGGGGAGAGGCCGCTGACCCTGGTGGATAAAAGCAGAAGAGCAGGGGTGAAGAGGGGAGGCCCTGGGGAGGGGGAGGGCAAAGCTCCAGCCCCCAGCTCAGGCTGGGAAGTCCTTGTGCCTGCCTCTCCTCTCCCCCTGCACACACACCCTCACCCTTTACCCTTCTCCATTGCTCATCTTCTGTGGGGTCTCACCTGTCTCTTGGCACCGCCTGCCTTCGAGGCTATGCCAAAGGACCTTGACTTTGTGTGCAGACCTCTGTGTGGTCCACACCAGGGCTGAGAAGCCTGCGGGTCCCAGTCCCAGTCTTCACCGAAGCCCAGGCAGGCACCCTCTCCAGGTCCCTTCCTCCTGTGCTCCTGCCCCTTCACCGAGGACTAGTGTGTGGGCGAGCATTGCTGCACCTGTCTCCCGCCTTTTCTGCACCTTCAGCTCCAAGAAGGGAGTGCTGCTCTCAGGTGGGCCTGGCAGGCGGGCTTGGAATCAGCGTGTGGGCTCAGGGCCCTCGGGCGCTTCTGCCCCGCTAGATGGCATCCCTTCGAGGCTGGGCAAGCCCCCTAATCTCTGGGTCACAGTTCCCTATGAAATGGAGAACCCCCTGCTAAACTACAAGGTGGGCACTTCATCGTGACGACCCCAACACTGACCACGTGCTGGGCACCAGGCAAAGGGCTCCAAGTGGAAGCATTTGTTTCATCTTAACCTCCCGGCAGCACAGAGGAAATGGAAGCTCACAGTGGGAGAAGCAATCTTCCCAAGGACTCACAGGCGGCCACATTTGCACGCAGGTGTCGGTCAGCAGAGCCTGTCCTCTTAGCTGCCACTTCCTGCTGGCATTGCTATGGAGACCAGGTGAGCTCAGCAGCTAAGGACCACAGATGTGAGATGGATCTGCCGTGCCCCTCCTCTCCGCACCATCCCTGACCCCAGGGCTGATGTTTGCAAAGTAAAGGATCTCAAAGCCCAAGAGAACCCAGACACAGACACAGACACAGACACAGACAGACAGACAGACACACACACACACACACACACACACTGACCTGGGGTCGGCCCTGTGGTTGTGCAGCCTGCCCAGCTATCTTGGAGTCCCGCCCTTATTTGGGTCTCACTCTGGGTTTAATGCTCTCCTGATGTCATCTTGAAATTCTCAATGGTGTTTGAGCAAACTGCCCTGGCTTTTGACCTCGCAAATTATGTAGCAGATCCTGTCCTGATCCTGCTCTGAGGCCCCCAGGCCATTGGCATCTGCAGTTAGGGCCTTGCTTACGGCCCTTCTCCCAAGCCCTAAGAGTTCATCACCATATATGGCTATGAGGTATATATTCTAGAGCTGCCTGGCATTCCACCCCTCCCGGAACCACGACTAGCAGAATGGAACCCCCTTGAAGTCCTGGATAAAGCTAGCAGCGGGAGGAACCGTGAATTATCTCACTCTGATGAACACATTTGTGTTTTGAGTGATAGATTTCTGTAGATGGTGCCTTTAAAAGCAGGACACAGAGTTGCACTTTATGAAGGCAAAGGGATGATGATTTTGGCCATGACCCCAAGAGGCAAGGTTGGGTGTTCACGTATCCAAGTCTGCACTGGTGTGTGCTTCTCCTTCCCCTCCCCAGGCCTCAGTTTCCCCTTTTATACACCAAGGAGACAGGAGACTGGGCTGGATTTCCCAGGGGACCCCATTGCTGCCATCCTGTGTGGCCTCAGCAGCCCCATCAAGAAGCACCCTGTCTCCTGCTCGCCAGCTGCGTGCTGCTCCCTGTCCCGACACTTTTCCATTGGAGGCCAGAGAGGGAAAGCCCTGCCCGCTCCAGAAGACAGCAGGAAAAGCAAGTAGCCCCGCTGTGGAATGCTGCGAGGTCCCCCTGGCGAGCCTCCTTTCCTAATTAGGAGCTGTAATCCTGCAAGGATGGGTCTTAATCTCCCAACGCTCGCTCCTCTCGCTCCTCGCCTCCGGCCGCTGGCACCCCTCCTCCCGGCAGCCCATCCATCAGAAGCGGCCCCCTCTCCCCTGGCTGGCTCCCAGCCTGCCTGAGCTCCCCAGCACACTCCCTGGCAGACAGCACATCTCCAGAACAGAACCTGAGGTAGGAGGAGACGTCAGAAGCTCAGGGAAAATGGAATTAAAACATAAGCTTGTTTTGGTGCAGTTTTGAGATCCATGCCTACGAAGGGTCTTCAAAAAGTTAGTGGAAATTCACAATGAGGAAAAAGCTGTGCATGGATTTCAAAACTGCTTTGCACAAAAATAAATGTACATTTTAATTCCATTCCTCCGGGGACTTTCTGAAGCACCCTTAAATGTGCATGGCATGGTGGCAAAGAGAGCGTCTGAATTTGCAGTGATGCTGTTTCTCAGTGATGGGATTTCAAAGGACCCCAACATGTTTTCTTTTGGGCTTTTTCTCTGTTGCCAAAATTTGCATAAGGGATCCTGTATTTTTTTATTTAAAAAAATCATGATTTGCTAAAAGATAAAAAAGAACCCCCCAATCCACAAATGCAAACTGTCAGCATTAAGACAAAGCTCCTGGTCTTCCCTGCTCTCAGCCGATGGATTTATCTGGATTTCACATTGCAGTTGGCCAGGGCAAGTCCCCGGATGCGGCACTTTCTCCACACACAGTATCTCGAGCACATACCAAGTCTCCTGGCTCACTTTGCAAGGCTGAGTACTGGCGTCTGTGCCGCAGGGTCACAGAGGGAGTGACTGCAGGGCACAGGGGCGTCAGTTCTTCATCGCCCTGCTGCACAGCTTCACCCAGGGGATCTGAGGCCCAGGCAGAAAGTCAGGAGGCCACAGGCTGCAGAGTTGCCTCCCGCACTATGCTTTCTCCCTGCAGCCTTGCAGGTCACAGACACGTGGCCTGGCTGCACTGGCAGCCAGCCAAGGGGACCGTGTGTCTGCCAGCATAGCTACTGAGTGCTTAGATGGGCTTAGGCTTCCACCTCGTCCTGGCCCTCAGGTTCTCTGGTGGGGGCTTGGAGGGGGCTGGGTGGGGCCCTGGGAGCAGCTACTGTTGTTTTGTGCCGTGGCCAACCAAGCAGTGGCCTGGGCTTCAGCCACGGGAACCATAGCCCAGGTCCCTGGACAGCAGGGCCTGAAGGTGATGACCAGGGCTGGTGAGCCCAGAGGCAGCAGGGCTGGAAGCAGAGAGCATGTCTGGGCTCCGCAGTGGAGCAGCAGGGCCAGCTCTGGGTGGGAAAGACTTGCTCCTCGAGAAGAGCTCCGGCACGGGGATGCCTCCTCGCAGCTGACAGGGCTCTGTCCCCAGGACTGCTCGCCGGCCTTGCTGCCACTCACACACCTCTCCTCCATCCTGGCACCCTCGGCCATGCACCAGGTGGGGTGCTGAGGGAAGCCCTGCCTGGAGAAGGCCTGGAGGAAGGAGGCGGGGGCTGCTTCTGCCTCTGGGGCTGGGGGTGGGAGGGGCGGCAGGAATTTGGAGCAGGGAGGAGGGCAGGGCCAGGAGAAGAATCCCGGTGTCCCCGTAGGCAGCCAGGGAACACCATGTCCTCGACCTGGGGCTGTAGGGGAGGGCAGGGAGGCAGCAGAGGGGGAGGCCTTTGGAAAAGGAGGCAGGCCTGGATTTCTTCCAATGGAAGTGTGGCTTCCAGCTCTCCACACTCTCTCTGCCAGAAACCAAGCGGGCCCCGGGGAGAGCACCCAATCCTGCTTTGCCCTTCAGAATCAGGCGGGCTCCACAAGCCCACCTGCTCCTTCCCTTCCCCGCCCAGGAAGGCAGGCTGGAGGCCAGCCGGGCAGTGGTGCAGCCCTGGCCTCTCAGCTTCGGGAAGGAGCTCCTCAATGATGCCAGCTCCCCCAAGTCTGACAGCTCACCACTTAGGAGGACCTCAGCCGATACAGGGCAGGCAGCAAGTGTGGGATGACCCGGCTCCAGCCACATGCCAGGAGGAGTTCCCTGGCATGAAGGGTGGCCAGGCAGGCAACCCGGCTGCAGAGAGGAACAGAACTGATGCAAGTGCCCCAAGGGCTGATGGCACAGCCAGGCCGGAAGGAGGCCATCGGGTTGGCCCTGGACGGCTCCCGCGCTGCATGCTCTCTCCAGGGCTCTGGCTGGGGAGGGGGATTCTGAGGTCTTGATGCTCACTGTGAGAGTCAGGTCGGCCACTGTGGTTGGGTCCGAGAGCCAGGCTGCTGCACAGGGCTGAGCCAGCCTGCTCCTTGCCAGCCTGCCTCCTGACACGTCTCTGCCAGACACCTTCAGCCTGGTGCCCCAGGCATCGCAGCACCTTCTCCTATTTCAAAGACTCTTCCTCAGTTCTTGGCCTTGGCTTTGGAAGTCTTCTATTATAATGTAGCCCAGGGCCTCCCGTGAAAAGAACTTGCATTGTAAAAGAAAGTGCTCTTCTGGCCAGTAGTCTTAGTTCTGGGTCTCAAGAGGATGTTCAGAAATGCAGAGACCACTGAAGCACATGGACCAGAATGCCTGCAAGCTGGGAACCACTCAAAAGCCCACCATGGAAGAGTGCAGAGTCCCTGGATTACGTTCACACAAAGGGATACTGCAGAGCATTGAGAGTGAACCGTCCACAGCCACAGGCTACTGTGAATGGGAGGAGCCAGACACTTCTCTCTGTTTGATTCCACTGACAGAAAGTTCAAGAACAGGAGCTGGTGCTGTGGTGCAGCAGGTTAAGCTGCCACCTGTGATGCCAGCTTCCCATCTGGCCACTGGTTCGATTCCCAGCTGCTCCATTTCTGATCCAGCTCTCTGCTAATGCACCTGGGAAAGCAGCAGAAGATGGCCCAGGTACTTGGGACCCTACATTCACATGGGAGACTGAGATGGAGTTCCAGGCTCCTGGCTTTGGCCTGGCCCAGCCCCTGTCATTGCAGTCATTTGGGGAGTGAACAAGAGGATGGATGATTCTCTTTCTCTCTCTCTTACTCTTTCTGCCTCTCTCTGTCTCCACCTCTCTCTGTAATCCTGCCTTTCAAATAAATAAAATAAATCTTAGACACACACACACACACACACACACACACAAAATGAAAGTTCAGGAACAAGCAAAGCTAACTCATGAACATAATGGTGACCTCTGAGGGTAACCAGGAGGGGGCACCAGAGGGCTGCAAGGGCCCTGGCTAGGTTGCATTTCTTGACCTGGACTGTGACCCACACAGAGCAGCCCTGTGGTTCTGGTTTGTCCATGGTTATGCCCATTTTAACACTGATAGTCCTGAATCTTGGGACACCTATCAGTCACAGGCAAACTGGGACAGCTGGTCACCCTGCCCAGACTGGGGGGTGGCAGCCAGCCATAGGGACTTTCCTGGCCCCTGTGATCTCAATGCCAAATGAAGACTGAATGCAAGCATGACCCACTCCAGGTTGTTCTGAGGACCAAGCACAAGCCCCTGTGAAGATCCCTGTGCTAGGAAGAACACTCAGGTAGCAAACAGGAAGGCAAGTCTCCTTGGGGACAGCAGATGGGCCCAGGACAGTGGCTGCCGGGGAGGGCGTCTCAGGGGTCTGGGGTGTCCCCATGGCCAGAGGTCAGTGTGGGCAACTGCAGGCCTGGGGAAGCCCTGGAGGAAGCAGGTGAGGCCTGCCGCCCTCTGTTCCTTACCCTCCTAGTATCGTCACGGCAGCTGTCTCCACCCAGAGGGGCTGGTGTAGGGAGAGGCTTGGAGTTGCATGCCTGGCCAGGGGTTTCTCCCCTGCCGCTCAGAGGGAGGCTGCCCTAACCGTGCACCCCACAAGAGTGAAACTCCTGAGCCTGGGAGAAGGCTGCATAGCTCAGAACTGTCCTGCTTCTGCCAAGCCTTTTCTCTCTCTCTTCTTCCTTCCTTCTTCCCTTCCCTGCCCTGCCCTTTCTTTTCCTTTTAAAGATTTATTTGAGAGACAGAGAGGAAGGAGTGGAGGTGGGGAGAGAGCCAGCAAGAATGAGAGTGTGAGCTTCCTCATCTATTGGTCCACTCTCCAAACGCCTGGAGTAAAGCTGAAAGGCAGGAACTCAATCCAGGTCTCCCATGTGAGTGGCAGGAACTCATCACCTGAGCCATCGGTGCTGCCTCCCAGGGTCTGCGTTAGCAGGAAGCTGGAGTCAAGAGCCAGAGGTGGGAATCAAACCCAGACACTCCCATGTAGCAGGTGGGTGTCTTCACTGACATCTTAACCACGAGGCCCAGGGCCAGCCACCGCCTCAGCTTTTCTAACAGCGGCTTCCAAAGCCGGCTGAGTGTCAGAGCCCCTGGGGCCTTCCCTCATGCTCAGGGCTGGAGACCCCTGGTGTCTAGTCTGAGCAATCCCCTCCAAGTATTCTAGGACAACAGCTCATTTCCCTTTTGCTTTGACAACAGAATTTCGTTCTTTACTGGATGCACCTGTTTCTCTGCGTCTTCAGGGAGACCATCCCACAAACCCAGCAGGCCGCACAAGGTCAGAGCTGGCTCTGAAGGCTAAAGACTGATCGCAGCCTGCGGCTTCAGGAATTAGTCAGGGGGATCTGCTGAGATACAATGTTCTAGAACTTGGTGACCACAACCTAGAACGTGCAAGGAACACGAAGTTTTGGGTCCCCTGGACCTTGGGACCAGAGCCTGTGACTTAAGGACCACCTGGCTGTTTTGTGCGTGCAGGCACCTGCCACGCCTAGGTCTAGTTTGCTGGGCCCTGCCTCGCGTTCGCCAGCATTGCTAATGCAAACAGCTTCACATCTTGCCCCTGATGCCCCAATTGTAATTACTGTGCTGCTTCCTGTTGGTCCCACTGAAGGCTCTGTCATTGAGAGCTTGTTAATCGGTTCTGTGTACTGGACTCAGAAACAACGGGAGCCACTGGGGTCCCCTACTCACACTGGCCTTGAAGACAATGAAAATGCCCAGAGACGTCCACCTGGACGCCGTCCCCCTCCCTCCACAGACCACCCACAGTGAGGGTGCTGGCCATATGTCCCTCCCTGCCTACCCAAGGCCTGGTTGGCCAGTGAGGGGATGGTGAGGGCCCAGAATAGGGGTCTGGGTTAGCTACACGTGGCTACAGATGTGTCATGCTGGCGACCCACTCAGAACCCTCCCGGCTCTGACGCTGGCCCTGTCCTTGCTACACCAGGGCAGCCTGGGGCCCCTCCTGCAGGAGCCACGGGGACTCACAGGATGTAGCAGATGACGCCGATGCTCCACATGTCCGTGGCATAGCTGATAGGCTCGTAGTTGATCACTTCAGGTGCCACGAATTCCGGGGTGCCGAAGAGGACCTTCAGAGACCCGGCGTTCTCTGAAACCAGGATGCAGAGGGATCAGGCGCCAGCTCCAGAGAAGCAGATAAGCAGCTGCCCTGAGGGACACAGCTGCCAGGAGGGACACAGACCGGGGTCACCCTCAGGAGCTCTCTCTCGATGACTGCACAGAGACACGTGGCCTTCTCATTAAACATACACATCAGTGCATCAGTGAACCAAAGGGCCACACTCAGTTCAGACGTCCTGCATGCAAAATGGTCCTTTCATGCCTGTCTCTCCCATGAAGTAGGCCCCGGGACAGAAAAGGGACTTTCTGCTGAACTGTCATTCATGCTGTCCTCATTCTCCTCTTCAAAACCCTCCACAAGCCCAGGAGGCCATGTGGTACCTACAACCACTGAGGATGGAAGTGAGGCCAGTGGGTGAAGGACCTCCCCTGCCCATTTAATGGTCCCAAGACTCACCCACTGTGGTCTGGCTCCTGAGCTGTGCACTGCCCACCCCATCCCACCGCCTTCCTCCTCCTCGTCCTGGAGCTTCATGCCTGGCCCGCAGGGTCTGCAGGGACCATGGTCAAGGCCGGGAGAGGCTATAACCCAAGTTGGTGACCCTTGGCCACAAAGAACCAGAGCTGCCCCTTGGCATGCACCTGAGGCAGGGTGCTGGCATTGGTGGCACTGCAAGAGGGCCTTGCCAGTAGTGGGTGGCCGCGGACCTCACGCCTGGGGCTACTTCTGGTCTCGTTGAGCTTTGCAGAGTGCATGGCCCATGTTCTAAAGCCAAGGCCGGCATCCTGGAGATGTGGAAGCTCTGCCCCAACTCTAATCCTTCCCACTGAATTGGAACCGCTTCCTGGCTCTCTAACTGATACAGTGCCCCCATAGTGACCCTGTGCCCAGCGAGCCTGCACTCGTGTGCCTTGGGTCCTGATGTGGCCAGCTCTTAAGGCCAAGGATCTCCTTGTTTGTTAATTAATGAGTGGTTACTGTGTGGGAGCCAGTCCTGCTCACCAGACCCAGCTCCCCCCGTCCCGTGAGCAGGAGGAGAGAGTGGGCCAGGCATGATGGCTGAACCTTGGGGCCTGCTTCTCCCAACCTGTGCTGGCCAAGAGGCAAGTCACTGCCCAGCAGACCCCCACTCCATCCCTGCCCTTGGACGACGGATGGGACCCAGCCCCACCAGGACTGCGAGTCCTGGGAGAAGGCTGACTGAGTGGCATCAGTTTGGCCAGCTCCTCCCACTGCCCGCTGCGTGGTGAAGCAAAGGCAGCTCCCGGGGCTGCCTGCTAGCAGGACAGTGGCCGAAGTGGGCAGGCGACGTGTGAGGCCCAGTCCCCGGCTCCAGCGACTTCAGGGCTGAGTCCCCTATCCCCTCCCTCCTGCTCAGCACGGGGGCAGCAGAAGTGCCAGGGAGCACCCTGAGCGAGGCCCGGTGTCCTGCCTCCAGCCCCAGCACCTCCTCTGGGTCACTGTGGGACCTCAGCTTCCTGCTCCACAAATTGGGTACCATTAACAACTGCCCTGCTGACCTCACTGTGAAGGTCAGGGAGCTCCCCGCTTTCTTTTTACCATGAAAGCCCTCTGGCAGCCACAGAGCAAGGTGCAGATGTGGGCAGCCACCGTCACCAAAATGAGCTTTGCCGCTAATGGCACCAGAGTGCAAAGCAAAAGAGGCGATGGCAGTCACCATCATCATCATCATCAAATAAAGAGCTGCTTGTCCTGTGGGCGGGGCCCTGCTGCTGTTGCGCCCCCTGGAGGGACTCGGCCAATACTCCTCAACAGCTCTGAGGCAGGCTCCATTGCTGCCCACTCCACTGCTGCAGGATGAGGCACCTGAGGCTGACAGCCCCAGGGCTAGGGAGCAGCGGGGGCGGGACCTGAACCTGGGCCCTGGTGGGGGGAGACGGCGGGAGAGGTGCACGGGCCTTACCCAGCCTTCTGGCCAGGCCAAAGTCGATGAGCTTGATCCTGGTGCCCGTCTTGTTGACGCACATGATGTTCTCAGGCTTGAGGTCGAGGTGGACGATGCCCTGCTTGTGGATGTACTCCACCCCCTCCGAGATCTGCCGCATGTACTTGATGCACTCGCGCTCCGTCAGCTCGAAGTCCTCGTCGATGATGCGCTCAAACAGCTCGCCACCTGACACTCTGCGGAGGCACAGCACACTCAGCCCCCCGGGACCCCCGGGGCCACGCTGGCAGCGAGGCCGGCCGAGGGCAGGCTGGGACTAGGGGGCCCCAGGCAGGAAAGTGCAGGGTTTGGGGGTGACAGGCTCCCGCTACAGCTCCCTGAGTTTCTGAACTCCACCGTGGAAGCTGGACCAGGGCCTCCTGGTTTCTTGCTTTGGGGACACTGCCCTGCACCTGCTCAGCTGCTGGGGGTCTGGGGGTGGGGGACTCAGGGAAGCAACTGGGCCAAGCAGCTTCAGAGGTGGGCGTGAATGAGAAGATCCAGACGTGACCACCTTTGCCAAAAGGGTGACCACTGGGCAGTGTCCATCCCTCAAATGACGAAAGGTGCATAAGGGAACATCCCTGTACCCAAGCTATGTCCTTTAGTCATGGAGAAGCGAGGTTTTAAAATACAGTTCCCATAATCATTTATCTTGCACAGCTGGGAATGGAAAAACATCTTCAATAAAAAAGAGCCTCGGCCAGTGTTCTAAAATTAGTCAGCTGTAACCCATTACACCTACAGATGTGATGGATCTGCTGACTCTGGCTAGGGCTACAGTATCAGGCTACTCCCTGCAGCCATAGCCAGCTCCTCTCACCGGTCCCCAACCTTGCTCATGCTGGAAGTATCATTCTTTCTATCTGGATAGATTTTATTTAATTAATAATTAATTATGTATTTATTTTTGATTGATTTGAAAGGAAGAGAGAGGTGCGGGAGGGGGAGAGGGAAGGGTGGGGGTGAGGTATCTTCCATCTGCTGGTTTACTTCCCAAATGCCTGCAATAGCCAGGGCTGGGCCAGGCTGAATCCAGGAGTCCTGAACTCAATCCAGATCTCTCACGTGGGTGGCAAGGACCCAATTACTCGCGCCATCACCTGCTACTGGAATCAGGAAGCTGGAATCTGAAGCTGAGCCAGGACTCGAACCCAGGCACTCTGATGTGAGGCGTGGGCTCCTCAAGCAGTGTCTTAGCCACTGCGCCAAACACGTGCCCCCTGGCTAGACTATAGACCATGGCCAATCAGCTCTGCTTCTCCCCCAGGCCAGCCAGCCAGCCAGCATCCGGCCCTTCAGGGCTCCATTGCATGAGTCCCCTGTTTCCCTGCCCCAGCCCTCTGACCACCTTCCTTACTCACTGCCCAGAAAATTGACAGCATCTCTCTGGCAACTCATAGGCTACCCGGAGATCAGGAAGGCCACTTCCGCAAGGGCCAGTAGTTTACCAGCTGCACAAGGCGGGGTGGCTTCAACCGGGGCCTCTCTCACAAGGCTGCCCCTCTCCTAAGGGGAGTCAGCGTGCAGACAGGACTGGAGTTTGAGGCCTGTCTCTGATTTAATGAGCTGTTTGACCTCAGGCAAGTGACTTAGCCTTTTTGAGCCCCTTATCTGTCCCCACCTCTCCCAGTTGTTAGGGATGTGGGAACCTTTGAGAAATACTCTGCACATGCTAATCACAGTTTGACAGCCTGTGGTGCGCAGGTGGGTCTTGGTACTGACTCCATGAGAGAGACGGGCAAGGACACACTGGGGGCCCAGCACAGGCCAGCCTGTCTGCGGCCATCTCAGAAGGCACTCCTGGAAGGGCTGAGCCAGCGGCCACTGGGGGGAGCTGGAGCTGAGACTTTAGAAGCAACTGGAGAAGGTCCCTGCACGGTCAGCAGGTGGCGCCTTTGGCCTGAAGCCTTCATTTTCTATTGCTCTCCAGCAAGCTCCAAGTCAAACTCCAGTCTCCAGTCCTAGGCCTCAGCCAGGACTTAACAGCTCAGTGCCTCGTCTGCCCAGCTGTACAGTGCAGATAAAAACCGTGTCCCCTCACAGCCTGAGATACTGCACACGTGCTTAGGGGCGTGCCTGGCACACACTAAGTGCTCAATGTCCACGATCAACATTGTATTTCAAAGAATCACTCAGGGGCTCCTGTTGAAAATACAGAGCCCCAAGATCCTCTCCCTTCTGACTGAGAGAATCTTGGGAGGGACAGGGATCTGAGGCCGGGTATTTTAAGAAGCACCCCAGGTCACTCTTACGATCAGACGTGGTTGGGAAATCCTGGCTTACTCAACTACGGCTCCGAGAAGCCTCTCCCTACGCCCCCCTGGGAAGGGGGCTTGCCCTGTCTGGGTGGCCACGCCCCTGCTCTGCACCCTCTGTCTCCTGTGGGCCCTGGGTCTGAGTGTCACGTTTGTGGACGTGTCTGGAAAAGGTCTGCCTTGTCGCTGGACCCTTATTAGCATCGGGCAACACACGGCACAGACAAGGCGGCCCCAGGCGTGCGATTTCAAGTTTCAGGCAGCCTGGAAGAGTATGCAGCCAGGACTTTCAGTGCCCCTGGGAGGCCTGGCAGGACCCCGAGCCGCGGGGATCATTCCTACTGCACTTCTGCAGGTGGCTTACTCAACATCACCTCACAGAGGCACTTTCTTGGATGGAAGAAAGTCGGTTTCTCTTCAAATTGTTCCAGATTATGGGTGGAGAGTATTGGTCCCTCAGGGAGAAGCTGCTGCCCATAGAGATGGGATAGTGCCAGAGGAAGTATGTGCTCAATAAACAAATGCTGAACACACGAGCAAATACCCACTGCCACCAAGCCCACCTAATTCCAAGGGGTCAGGTCAGTCCCTGAACTCTAGACCTTGGCCAGGCCTCACTGGCAGTCAGAAGGAATGGCGCTCCCCAGGAACTCTCCCCCAGACTCTCAACCCCTAGCTCATGGCAGCCACTGCGGTGGAAGCACAAAGGTGAGGGCCAGCCTCGGACAGCTCAGCTTAAACGCCGCACCTTCCTTAGTGCTCGGGGTCCCAAGTACTTCCAAAATGACCAGCTCCAGGCCAGGGTCTGGAGGAGCCCCTGCCTCTGAGCAAGGCTGCTGTGTGACAGGAGCTTGTCCAGTAGTCGGAATTCAAGAAGGCTGCAGACACACATTCCTTCTTAATTCTCAGCACATCTGGGGACCCTGGAATGGGTTCTCACTTTTCCCTATCCCCAGGCATTGTCCCATGATTAACCTCAGTTTCTCCATCCAACGAGGAGGAGAGCCATCGCCCTGCTGAGAACCCAGCCTCCCCGACACGAGGAGGCCTGGGTTGGAATGCAGAAGCTGGGAGGGAGGCTGCGCGGGGGTTGGGGTTGCTCCCTTCCTTGGTTGAGCTCTTTTCAAGGGGCAAGTTCCCCAGCCCAGTGTAGGGGAGCCTTCTGGCATCGGTGCGTGTGAGGCTTGCTCCTGTCCACGGGGGGAGGCCAGAGGCGGAGGGATGAAAGCCAGACCAGCCAAAGCCTTCTTACGTTTCCTCCCTACTTTTTCCATCCAGCGTGCCAGCTCCCAATTCCAAGCTAAGTATGGTATTCTGCCCACTGCTGCGGCTGCCCAGCTTTCCCCGGGCCCGGCCGCCTCCTGCCCCTCCCCGCGCCCTCTCACGAACTCGCTCAAGGTTTGAGTTCTAAAGATAAGACATTCTGCCACATGTCCTCACATGCCCACACTGCCTGGACGTGGCAACCTGTTCGAGAACAAAGGTGAAAGCTGCAGGCCACAGGCGATCGTGAGGGCAGAATGAGAAGAGGCCACGGACACGCATAGCTATTTCCCGAAAGCGGGGACGAAAGTTTGAATTTGGGGCTGGAAGTAGACGGAGAGACGGAAGACAACTCAGGGTTTCCTCCAAGTCTCTCGTGGTTGCACAGCACTGTAGAATTTTGTAGCCAAAAAGGGAGCTGTGGCATGGTGATTCTGGTCCAGTGCTGCTTTTTGCTGGGCTCAGTGAATCACCAGCCCACCGCAGCCACACGGTGGTGCTCCCTTCCTTGGGTTGAGCTCTTCTCAAGGGGCAAGTTCCCCAGCCCAGTGTATGAGGTACATGTGTACGTGATATATGTGTGTGAGGGGTGTGTGTGGTATATGTGTGTGGTGTGTGTGGTATGTGTATGTGGTGTATGGTACGTATGATGTGTGTGGGTGTGGTATATCTGTGGTATGTGATGTTTGTGGTGTGTTTGTGGGGGGTGTGGTATATGTGTGTGTTGTGTGTGGTATATGTGTGTGGTATGTGGTATGTAATGTGTGTGTGTGGTGTGTGGAGGGGATGCAGGGTGTGTTGTGTGGGAGTGTGGTATGTGTGCTGTGTGTGTGGGGTATATGTATGTGTGGTGTGTGTGTGGTGTGTGCTCAGTGTGGTATACATGTGGTGTGCGCCATGTATGTGTTATATATGTTTGGGGGTGGTATATGTGTATGGTGTGTGCTGGGTGTGTGTGTGTTATATATTTGTGGTGTGTATGTGGGTGGTATATGTGTGTGTTGTGTGTGTGAGGTATATGTGAGTAGGGTGTGTGTGTGTGTGGTGTGTATGGTGTGAGGGGTGTGACTGGTGCTTGTGGTGTGTGTAGTATATATGTATGGTATGAGGGGGTGCTATATGTGTGTGTGTGGTGTATGTGGGGTATATGTGTGTGAGGGGTGGTATATGTGTGTGGGGCATGTGTGTGTGGGGTATGTGTGTGTGGGGCATGTGTGTGTGGGGCATGTGTGTGTGTGGGGTGTGTGTGTGCGGGTGGCATACGTGTGTGTGGTATATGTGTGCTGGGTGCGTGTGGTATATGTGTGGGGGGGTGCTATATGTGTGTGTGTGGTGTATGTGGGGTATATGTGTGTGAGGGGTGGTATATGTGTGTGGGGCATGTGTGTGTGGGGTATGTGTGTGTGGTGTGGGGGGTATGTGTGTGTGCGGGTGGTATATGTGTGTGTGGTATATGTGTGAGGGGTGGTATATGTGTGTGGGGCATGTGTGTGTGGGGCATGTGTGTGTGGGGCATGTGTGTGTGTGGGGTGTGTGTGTGCGGGTGGCATACGTGTGTGTGGTATATGTGTGCTGGGTGCGTGTGGTATATGTGTGGGGGGGTGCTATATGTGTGTGTGTGGTGTATGTGGGGGTGGTATATGTGTGTATAGTATATATGTGTATGTCTGTGGTATATGTGTATGTGATATATGTGTGTGGGGTGTGTGTGGAGTATGTGTGTGAGGGGTGGTATATGTGTTTGGGGCATGTGTGTGTGGGGGGTATGTGTGTGTGCGGGTGGTATATGTGTGTGTGGTATATGTGTGCTGGGTGTGTGTGGTATATGTGTGTGGGGGTGGTATATAAGTGTGTGGGGCATGTGTGTACCTGTGCTAGAGCACACTAGCAGCTCAGAGGTGAGGGAGGTGGAGGACTGGGAGGTAAAGGAAACGAGGAATTCTGGGGAAGCCCTGGCTGGAGGCCACTTGGTCCATCCCCTGTGCCTGTGTCCATGCCAGGAGAGAAGGAGCCACTCTTGGAGAGTGGGAAGGCAGCAGAGAACAAGCAGCTGGACTGGGACACGGAGAGGCACAGCGGGAGGCCGGGAGCAAGGGTTCCACTCCCTGGGTCCAGATCCCCGCCTCGCACTCCTGGTTCACGGGGAAGTCAGAAAGTCACTCGACCTCTTCCCTTCCACTCAAAACCACCTGCAGCTCAGCATGGCCTTGACTGAAGCCAGGGAGCTTGGGAGGGCTTTGCCCTCTGAGGGGGATGAGGCTGAGAAGGGGGGCAGGGCTCCTCCAGGAGCCACTGAGCCAGGCTGGTGATTGTGGGTCAAGGCCAGCACCACGCACAGACCTTCTGGATCCCACTGCTCAGCCCCACCCGTGGCCTGTGAGCACGTGGCCTATCACACCCCTGTGCGCCGTGCTTTCCTCTTGGGCAGCGGTGGCTAGGGGCCAGGGCGCAGGAAGGTGGGGACGTGCCCGCAGGGCCACTCACATCTCAAGGACCATGACGATGTTGGCCTTTTCCTCGAAGGCGTCCACGCACTGCACCAGCTTGGGTGGTGGAGGCAGTTCATGATGCCAATCTCCTGCCGGATGTTCTCCTTCTCTTTGCCGAGTACGCCTTGAAGAACTTCCCTGCCCAGATTTTTCCAGTTTTCTTCTCTACGAGTCGGAAGACCTGTCCAAATTTCCCACTGCAAAGGAAGGGGGCAGGAGAGAGGCCACACTAAGTAAGGCTTTCCACTGAACTGAGGGTTGGCAAATCAGCGTCTGTGGGACAAGCAGGGGCCCCCTCTTCTTGTACGGGAAGTTTCATTGGGATGCAACCACGCCTGTTGGCTTCTGTGTCATCGCTGGCGGGTCCTGCGCTGTGCCAGCAGAACGGCGCAGTTGTGACACGGCGCATGCCCTCGGAGCCTACAGGACCAACTTGGCCCTTCACAGGAAAAGCCTGCTGGCTCTGCTCTGGAGCAAGGAAGTACATTCATTTTTATTTATTTATTTTCATTTAGTTTGAGAGGGAAAGAGGGAGAGAGAGAGAGAATCTTCCATCTACTGGTTCACGCCTCAAATGCTTGCAGAAAGCTGGGGTTGGGCCAGGCAGAAGTCAGCAGCCTGGAACTCCATCTGGGTCTCCCACGTGGGTGGCAAGGGCTCATGTACTTAAGCCATCATCTGCTCCCTCCCAGGCTATGCACGGGCAGGAAGCTTGCTGGGAAGCAGGGCCAGGACTTGAACCAGGCGCAGGTATGGGCTGTGGGCATCCCAAGCAGTGTCTTCACTGCTAAGCCTAATGCCCACCCCTAAAGCACCTTTGTGATGCTGACATTCGACCTCTGACCTTTCCTGCAGAGGGACATGGTGTTGCATTGAGGTTGTTCCTCCTAAACAGAAAATGGCTGAGCAGTTCCTTTCTTTCCACTCTACCCTCTAGCACTGGGCCCTGGCTGGAGCCCAGGGAGGACCCTGGTACCCACTGCAGGTTATGGGAGTGTGGGGGCCCTGAGAGAGCACCCCGCTTCCATAGAGCTGTGAGAAGCCGTGCATCACTGCTTTACGAGTGTGCGTGGATTTCGAAACTTCCTCTGCAGAAAAATAAATTTCCTGGAGTGAGCATTTGGCCTAAGATGGCCAAACTGGCACCTTGGAGGGTCCAGGTTCAATTCTAGCTCTGGTTCCTGGCTCCAGCTTCCTGCTACTGCAGACCCTGGGAGGCAGCAGTGATAACTCAAGTGGCTGGGTCCCTGTTCCCCTTGCAGGAGACCTGGACTGGATCCCTGGTTCTTAGCTCTGGTCTTGATCATTGAGAGCATTTGGGGAGTGAACCAGCAGATGGGAGCTCTGTCTGTATCTCTGCTTCCCAAATAAAGAAAAAATGGCTCTAATTCATTGAAAAGATTACATTTCATTTTCCACGACTTTTTGAAGTGCTCTCGTATTTCCCAGAAACCACTGGAAGTAAATTCCAAGCCACATTCCTTTTTCTTCCACTCCTTGCACTTCTCCAGGGATACAGGAAAATGGTCACAATGGCTGGGGCTGGGCCAAGCCAAAGCCAGGAGCTTGGAACTCCATCAGGATCTCCCACGGGGGTACTTGAGCCACCTTTCACTGCCTTCTCAGGTGCATTAGCAGGAAGCTGGATTGGAAGCAGAGCAGCTGGGACTCCAACCGGCAGTCCCATATGGGATGATGGAGTTGCAGGTGGCAGCTGAACCCACCATGCCACAACACCTGCTCCCACTGTGCAGCTTAAAGAAGCATTAACAGTAGCATTGCTGGAGAGTGAGGACTGGTCAGGCTCAAACCAAAGGGATCCTACACACAATCCAATCCAGATCCTGCGCCCTCACTTCAGTCCTGTGCTGTGAGTGGAGGCTCAGCAAAGGAAGGACTTGGCCCAAGGCTTTGAAAGACATGGGCCAGGGCAGAGCTGGGGGTGAGTGACCCTCTCATGGGCCAAGCCCTCCTGGTTCTGTAGGAATCTTGGCCTGGGGAGGAGGCAGAGCCCAGGAAGAGAAGGGAGCTCGAGGTTCTGCGTTTAACCTGGGCCCTGTGCCACCCTCACCCTGGGGCGAAGGCAGCGTCCCACTCCACTTACGATCCTAGCCTCTCTTCGATGTCATAGAAGTCAGACACTTTCTGCTCGGTGTTGACGGTCACTGTCCGGTAGTCGACCTCGGGCTCCTTCTCGTCTGCGGGGCAGGGGGCAGCGTGAGCGTGAGCTGCCAGGTCCCCTTCCTTAGCCCCCCGTCACCACCCCGGAGAGCTGGCCCGGCACGGCACTCACCATCATCCGACACCTCCTCCACTTCATCCTTCGGCTCTGGGACAGAGAGGACACACAGATCAGTACTGAAGACCAGAACAGAAGCCATGCTGGGGCCTTGCCAGGCATGAGCCCACCCAGGCCAGAGCTCCAGGCAGCCACCCTAGCTGGTGCAGCCTGGAGCAGACCATTCAGCTCCACTCTCAGCACCTCTGCTGCCCGACCCCATTTCCCTCAATGCACCCTTTCCCACGTTCCCCCTCTAGCCTCTCAGAGCCTCCCCACAACCCTGACTCCAGCAACTCCCCACAGCCCTGGCTCCAGACTCAGCAATGGCCAGTTGCTTCCAGTGTCATCTCCACGATCCTCTTGCTGAATGTCTCCATGCAGGCCTGTGCGTACTGCGTCTTGCCAGTTAGCGTGAGCACACGCTCTGTCTTTCTTGAAGCTCACAATCTGGTTGAAGAGGCAAAAGCCCACTTGAAGCATCACTTACAATGCACGCCTAGTCAAGCCCAGACCGTCATGGCACGGACTGAGCCCAGGGATCCACCGTGGAACAAGGAGACACAAAGGGGCGATTGTGAAATCAAGGCAGGCATTCTCAGAAGCCGCCCGAGAGCTTGGGGGATTCGCAGTAGCACGAGAGCGTGACTGATGTCTTACACGCTGAAGCAACAGGTGTTCACGAGGCAGGTGGGGAGGGACCAAGCAGCCCACGCCAGCTGCTGTCCACATGCATGTGTCGGAGGGGCACAGAGGACAGCAGGGACTCCACAGGCACATCTGCCCCAAGCTCCAGCTTTCCTTGGCCTTGCTGCACATCTGTCCCCTGCAGCAGGTGCTCTGGCTTGGTGACCAGGACTGAGTGCCTTTTCTTTTCTGGGCCTCTGTCTCCTCATCTGTAAAAGGAGGGAGCTGCACCTGGGGAGTGTCCAGGGTCCTGACTGGCTCTGGACGCCAAGCTCTGCAATGTGCTCTGTGCCCCTCGCTGTCCGGGACCTGGGGGCCAGGGACAGGTGAGAGACCATGGGGGGGAACAGCTTGTGAGATGGAAGTGTGTGAGTGTGCATATGTATGAGAGGGTGTGTATGCAGGTGAGTGTGTGTATGTGTGTGCGTGTGACCCAGTGTGAGAATGTGTGTGTGAGTATAAGCATGTGGGACTGTGTGTTTGTATATGTGTAACAGTGTGTGAGTGTGAGACAGTGTGTGAGGTTGTGTGTGTACATGTGTGACAATGTATGTGACAGAGTACTAATGTGTGGGACAGCATGTGAATGTGTTTGTGAGGGTGTGAATATGTATATGTGTGATTGTGTTAGTGTGTGCACGTGTGACAGTGTGTGACAATATGTGAATAGTGTGTGTGTGTGTGCTGAGTGTGAATAAGATGTGGAGGGGAAGGGTGGGATTTGCTGAAGCCTCAGCAGAGCTCTGCAGAGGACAGGAAGGGCACCTCCTGTGGCAACCAGAGTGGGCGGGGGCAGAGGCGTGGCCAGGCACTGCCTGGCAGGGAGGGGCTACATGGCAGCAAGCTGTGCAGGTGTGGGCTGGCAGGAAGGTGCTGTTGGAACCGTGAGCCCAGATGAAGCAGGCGAGCTGGATGAGGACTGTTGGAGCCAGCTGGTGGAGGGTTGGTGTGGGTGTCATGATGCTGCTGGGACCTGGGCCGCCTCATCAACCTTCCTCATCTGCTGAGTTGAGAGTTGGGAGTGACGTCGTCAAGTGCATAGATGACTAGGACAGTTGGAGCGCAGTGTGCTGTATGCCCTTAACTGTCGCTGTGCAGGGAGAAACCCAGCCCTCCGCCCTCTGGGTGCCGAGCCCTGAACACTTACTGCCTCTCCTCAGGGTGCCACCGGGGAGAACGTGCCCTGGCTACACACGGGTATTACACGCCCAGCCCTTGCTGGGGCTTGGGTCCCTGCTCCAGAATGCTGGCGGAAGACTGCTATGAGCTGGAGTGGGTGTGGAGGGTACTGAAGGTTGGGGGCAGGGGGCTCTGGGTGTCTCTGGCTGTGAGAGAAGTCTAACACTGACGTGACTTAGAGGAATTCTCAGGGCCTGTGATGTATTGCAACAGATAAAGCTCTGGAGTCCCCACCACTCCACTTCCAATCCAGCTCCCCACTAATGCATACTTGTGAAGGCAGCAGCAGGTGGTTCGAGTGCCTGTGCTGATCTCCGGGCATTGCAAGGGGACCGGAGTGCCCTGAGCAGCAGGGTGACTGAGAAGGCAGGCAGGCTTTCTTGGCACGGTGTCTGCAGGACATTCTGTGCCGGCTCCTGGAGGAGCAGCATAGCTGGGAGCCCGGGGGGGTGGCCTTCCAGTGACCGGCACCAGGGGGTTTTCCTAATGAGCCTGAAGGGGCCTCCTGTTTTAGAACTGCCTCTCCTCTCCCCAGTATCACCCAGTGAGAACCACAGAGCCAGGCTTCTGGTCTCCCTCACCACACCTGCCCCTTGCCTCTGTCTCCTGGGGCAGCAGAGGTGCAGAAGGCTCTCCTGATGCACCAGGGCTCCCAGGGGATGCAGGCACCTCTGTCTAGCCCACAGCTGCACAGCAACCTCTTCTGTGGGAAACCCTGATGGAGACCCCTTGGCTGATTCCTAGTGTCCTGCCCCCATCCTGCCTGATGGGGCAGGACTACTGGCAGGGCAGCTGAGGGAGGAGGAGGAGAGACCACAGCTCACTGAGCTGAGCTCCGCAGCCTAAGGGGCTGGACTCAGGAGAGGCGAGGCCTTGGCTCCCCTGTTTCCACTGAGGAGGGAGCCAAATTTGCAGAAGGGCCTTCAGTGGACGCCTGAAAGCCTGTATTCAGAGTGGGATATGCAATCCAGAGCTACATGGAAGGCTTGCTTGGAAGATGCACCTGAGAAGTTTCGGCAATCTTGCAGCTCACCACCTGAGTGGCGTTTGGGAGAGGGACCCCTGTGGCACAGAGCTGTACCCTTCTGTGGGCAAGGACGGTCACATGCCCAGTGGGCACTAGAGGGCGCCCAACCCTAGAGAAGGCTTCTTGGGGGCCAGATGTAGCGAGTTTTCCACCTCCGCTGCTCTGTGGGTTGCAGGAGCCTCCGTGGGGGCTGTTTGCCAACAACCTACACAGACCAGACCCAGTGAGGATTAGAAGCCAGGTGGACTGCATTTCAGAATCAGAGCTGGGTTAGGGTTGGTGGTGGGAGGGGCAGGTCTTGTCAGGTGGTGGCTCTGTTCACCTGGGTCTGGGCAGTCTGGGAGGGCAGTGCTCAGATCAGGGACCCTGGAGTCAGGGGTGGCTCTTGCACAGCTAGGGAAGCCCCTGGAGCTGGAGGGGGAACCCCACTTTGTCCTCCATTGAATCTGCCGTGCCCACAGGAGTGCTTGAGCAGGACACGTGGGGGTGATTGACAGCAAGTGAACCTGGCCTGCAAAAAGGGACAGCATTGAAAGAGCAGGAGGCCCAAGTGGTGCTGGGAGATGGTGGTGGAGCTGGGCGCCATCAGCTGGGCTTTGTGGCGTGAGGGTTGACTGGAGCTGCCCTTTCTATAAGACCCTCATACCCCACCTTCAAAGAAAGGCTCCACATGACCTTCTCCTCAGCCCCCCAGCCCTCCGCTGGTCCCCGGCCCAGGCTCCTGAGGAATCCGGAGAAACAGCTGAGCAGCTCACAGACTCTGCCTGCAAGTCCTCTGCCCTCAGGCCTAGGCTTGGCCAACCACTGTTCCCTCCCTCCCTTGCTGCCCACCTTGGACCATCCAGCTGGGCGGGCATGAGGAGCCACTTCCTGTCTGGGAGCCCTGGGTGGCCTGGACCCTCTTCGGATCTCAAGGATTTCAACGCTGTCTTTATCTGCTCCTTTGAGAGGTGTGCTAGGGGAGCGGATGTCGTCACAGAGGGCCCAGCGCCTCCTCCGGTGTACTGTGCACCAGGAGTGGATCAGGGACTCTGCAGTCCTCCCAGGTTACACCTGGCACGTACCTGGAAGGGTCCCCTCTCCAGGCCAGGGCCACCTGCTCACTGCAGCACTGTCCCACTGTCCTGTCACTGTCCCGAGGGAAGTCCCCAAACACACAGGCTGGAGCTTGGCTGTCCCTCCTGGCACCCCATTCAACCTCCCTGCCCCCACTCTGCTCATTTCAGAGACACCATGTATGTATGTGGGGGAAGCATCATTGTCCCTCAGTATACCCAGCAGCCTTTGGTGAGGGGCTGGTGGGTGGGAGCCCATGAGAGCGTCTAGAAGCCCCAGCCCAACCCAGGAGCCGGGGCCCAGCTGTGCCTTCCAGGGGCCCCGTGCCTGCTCTGTGCGTTCCCAGGGTTTAGTGGGTGAAGTCTGCCCAGCACACAGCTGCTCAGACGAGTCTGCAAAGTTGTAGTGTTCTCCAGTGGTTCCCCCGAATTTGTCTGCAGCCCTCCTTGAACTTGGAGGACAAGTTCTAACACCTGTTCCATGCCAGACTTCTGCACCTCAAGTGTGTGCATGTGAGGGGCAGGGATGGCCCCGCACTCCCAGCACCTGTGGGTGGTCTCCTCTCAGACACCGAGTCTCCCACCGCCCCGTTAGCCCTCCCCTCTCCTTAACCCCGGAGCCCCTGGCCTTCTTCCCCACCCCCACCCTCTTCCTGCTCTTCACACCACACGTCCTGAAACCACGTTCCACCCTCCTGGCTTCTCCATCCACTCCTTCCTTCCGCAAAGCAACCGTGGAGGTTGCTCTGACCACCAACCACCACAGGCCTGGACCCAAAGCCCCTTGCGAGTGCTTGTCTCTTTCACCTTCTCTTCACAGGTGACTCAGGTCCCTGAGCTGCCCGCCGTGGCTCCTGCAAGGGGAGTCCAGCCTCCTCGTGGTTCTCTCCCTCCCAGTCCTGCCTTCTGGTCCTGCAGCTCCCTCATGACGGCCCAGGGGTTGGCTTTCTCTGCAGCCCTCTCAGAGAGCCTGTCCGTGCTCACAGCCTCAACCGCCAGTTACAAAGCAAAGACTCCCAGGTCTGGGGCATAAGGGAAGCCTTTCTCCGGCGCTCCGGACCCAAGCGTCTGATGGGCCCCCACCCAGGACATCCCAGCGACCC